GCGCCGACCCCACACCCAACCCGCCACTGCCCGACCCCCTGGCCATCGACTGTCTCGGGCATATCAAACGGGACGTACGGCTAGAGTGCGCACAAATAGCGCAACTGCGCTGGAATGTCACCCCTCACGACACCCCGTTGAAAAATATATGTTGCTCAGTTTGGGATGATCTCGATTGTTTGAGAGAGATTGCCTGGGTCAGGTGCATGCCCGTGGAGCTGGCACATACCGAGCTGTATTTTAATGAGGTCTGTATTCAAACACCGATAATTAAATCAGGGTGTATGTATTAAACATAGTTATTGTAGGTAACAAAATAATAATATTATACATTGTCTCGAAGCAAATGTGCTAAACAAAATTAATTTTTAATATTAGCTTAATTATGGTAATTATTGAAATTCACCCAGGCAATTAATTGGACGGAGAGAGTGGCCTGCGATATCGCCCCATACCATAGCGAGGAGTGTGTACTACCCTTCGAGGCTCCGCCGCTCATAAAGGATAGTCATCTAGGTGAAAACACTAAAAAACAGCCAGCTGATTTAACCAAAACATCTGCATCAACTGCCCAGCCCAACACACAAACCCCACAACCGACCACCGACTCGGCCCAAACCAGCCAGGCCAAAATTGAGCCTACACCGGCACCAATCATCGAGACAAACGAGCTAGATGATGGCGCCAAACCTGGGCCACGTTTCCGACTGGACCGCGTGTTTCACGTACACGAAGCGCACCGGGAGTCCGGCCCCGAGTATCACATCAAACACGTGGCCAAACTGTACCCGTTTAGCGAGGAAGAGCACCGACAGCACACTGTGCACGGCTTTATGAGGGAGTTTAGGGCTATTTTCCCGATGACCATGTTTTTCCTGGGACTGGTGGCCATTACGTTGGCGATTGTGATCGGCATTCAGTACCGGGTGTTCCGACGCAACGAACGCCAGGGTATTAAGGGTGGAGTGTTTTTGCGCCGCACCCACCCCTACGATGTAGAGGACAGACAGATGTTGATCAGATTTTAATTGATTATTTTCTTACCATGTTTTTAATGAATTATTAATTTTTAATTGTGTTCCTTTATTTTTCCTAACTGATAGTTACTTTGATTATAATACAGTATAAAATTTTTAAATATGCAATTATAGCATTTGAGTTTTCTAGTCCAGCTCCATTAAAACGTGATAATACAGTCGAATGTAATTAAAATTATTATGGTTCATATTTTAATAAAATTATTTCAAATTAATTTTATACTGATTAAGCAAGGCTTGTGTGTTGGGCTGGGCAGTTGATGCAGATGTTTTGGTTAAATCAGCTGGCTGTTTTTTAGTGTTTTCACCTAGATGACTATCCTTTATG